CCCCCCCCCCCCGCCCCGTTTTCCAATAGGGAACGCGATATAAGAAGTTCATTTTTTCTTTTCTCGATAAAATACACGCTATTGTATTATAATTTTCTCTTTATATACAGGAATCGTTATAGGTTTTATCCCGTGCCGGATAAGGAACGATGTGCTGATTTTGTAACACATTTTCATTCTCGACCGGTCTCCGCGAAATTCTCATTCGTTTGGGCACGTACTCTACTACATCTATCCTGGCGTGCACATGTGTTACGTAATCCAGATAGAAATCTGCTAGCACAGAGGTCCGATATTGCATAGGATTTATCTCACATTGCCTTTTCAGACCCGTAACGAAAGACTCGAGAGAGAGAGAGAGAGTAGCGTGCACTCGAATTAAACTTAGAACATGTCCATGTCTAGCTGGTCCAAGTCATTATAACTAACAATAGGCCTCGAGGTTGAGTCCGGAGCAGCCCTGTAAAACAGCGGATCACACCACGTTGAATACGTCGTCAAAAAAAAAAAAGGAGGAAAAAAAAAAGAATTTCGAAAACGGTACCCCGCGACCGACGGTTCGTTGTTGATCGGTTTTTTTTTTTAATTAGCCACTCGAAAACCAGACATGTGTGAATCACGTGTCGCGGACTACCTCGGCGTGAATCGGTGAACTACAATACAACTGAAACAAAAAAAAAAAAAAAAAAAAAAAACAAGTGCTTCTTACCGTCCTCTATTGAAACCGCCACGACTGGGACGCGGCATTCCGAATCCTCCACCGAATCCTCCGCCGTAACCGGATCCGTATCCTCCTCTGTTACTGCCGTAACCACCACCACCTCCTCCGTAGTTTCCAAACCTATAAAATCGGACAGTTGTAATCATCGGTACAGAGCAACGAATGGTAACGTGGCAACGAAAATGCAAATCGCCGTTCGAATCGGGAACAGAGTTTCGTGAAATCGGTATGAATTCTAGCAGCTTCTTCCGTATCTGATACACTTACGTGGAGCATCCATACGGATTGAATCCCTCCCGAATTCCCTCCCGTGGCGGTGCCTTGTTCCCTGGGTGTTCAGGCAGCTGTGGCCTCTTCGGATCCTTCAAATAGTTATTGAAATATTCCGCTTCCGCCTTCACCTCGATCACCTTCTCAGCATGTTTGTTGAAAATATGCTTCCGAATGAAATCAGGTCCCTTGAATTTCTTCCCGCTAAGCGGGCACAGCCATTTGTCCTTCGACAGCTCCTGCGTGTTGGCTTGAACGAACTTTTCTACCTCACTGGCGACAAGAGAGTCAAGGAGAACACTGACACAATGTGTGAATCAATAGACTGCGGATTTTATGCATTTATAGCTCATAGGGCTCTGTGGAATACAATAAAAAAACAAACCTTTCGTCAGATCAAATATGTTTTCTATTTTATTCTGAATTCAATAAGATTCTCAAGAGGGAAAATATATTTCTACGATTGCTACTGTCTTTATAAATTACTTTAGAAAGTTTGTTTTCACATCAAAATCCGTAGTCTAGTGATCAATTACTCGACCACGTAGCAAAGAAAAGGATACGCTTCCGCGTTCTTGGCGCCAAGTTTGTCGAACTCTTCCTGAGACAAGGTCGCGACCGGCTGCAAGAAGGCGGACATTTTGCTCTCGAAATTGCGACAGTACTCCGACAGTTCGGTGCTCGACAATTTGGCAGTCGGTGCAGAACCTCTGACGTGCATTATGCCGCACCTGTTAGGCATCTCGTCCTCGTTCGGATACTCGCAATGATTGTAGTAATCGACCGAATGGACTATTCGCAAATAGAGAATCAGTCTGTCCAACACCTACGCAGAAACGAATACAGTTTGAAGAGTTCAACGGGCGTTGATAGATTCGTCGATAGTGTGTACCTTGACAAGTGTCGGATCTCTTTCGATCGGACCGTCCCCGTCGCCTCCCAATTGACCCTCCTCCTGATCACCAGACATGCCTAACAGTTCTTCTTCCTCGGCAGATGCCTCTTCTATCAAATAATCGGTGATATTCTTCAGTACTGGATTCTTGGACGACAGTCCGAACGCCTGTGGGCATCAACATTGGACACTTTTTAGGAACCTTCTTATGCTTCAGATAAACTATCAATAAACCGAGCATAGACTCACAGCTTGCTCAACTTCATGAGCATTTTGCGTGGATTTACTCTCTTTGCTGTCGCCGTCGTGCTTAGACCGGGTCTCCCCTTTCTTTTCTTCATTCCACAAACCAATCCTGTTGTCCAAATTGTGAACGATTTTTGCGCTCAATTTGATATCGTGCCTGACTATCTGTTTGTGAGATGTCAAACCGTTTACGGTACGAATACGACGGGAGAGATCCCTGTTCACTATCGCGCCCAATTCGCAGTCCCGAAGCTGTACATATATAGTATTGCAAGAGTTTATTATTCAAATACATCGATACACGTTTTAAACGATCGTTTTCACTTACGCGAATATTATTCAAGCTCCAGCATATCTCCTTTATGTTCACTTGTCTTTCAAAGGACACCCATCCTCTTCTGAACCACCTTCTCTCCGGTTGAGGATCCGCTATGGCAACTCGCAAAAATCCAGGGAAACGTTTGCACATCTGTTTCGATAAACTTTTCGTAAATTTATCCAGAAAACATAAATCGGAATTCGTGATCGTTAACTAACCGCTTCGACTTCTGCCTTTGTGATAGTGGGCGCCAGATTGCGGAGAAAAATGCTGCTGGTTTTGTGCAAAGCTCTGGGTTCTTTTTCTTTATCTTCGCTCGCCAGATCAATGACAGCCTCTGGCTCGATCGCAGGCTTTTTAGCTTCCGATGGCTCCTCATCGGCTTTGGCAACTTCCTCCTCTTCTTTTATCTCTCCCGCGTCAACGTTCTCGTTGCTGGTGTCCGCTTTCTCCGCGACAGCTGAGAGAAAAGATATCCCGAGTCAGAAGAGTCTTTGTATTCTATGGACAATAATACGACGAGATCACAAAAACTCACGGGTTTCGGCTTTTGGCGTGTCAGGCTTGTTACTATCGCTACCGGACGAACTACTGCTGCTACTACTGCTGCTGCTGCTACTGTTGCTATCTGTACGTTTCCTCTTTTTGGTGTTAACTTCCTCTGCTTTACCCACTGAAACAGAACTTGTAAATATCAATATAATAAGGAAGATACGTCATTTCAGGTTCTCCAATGGAAATAATACCCGTTCCATCCATATCATCGTCCTTCTTCGATTCTTCTAAATTTTCTTCGGGCTTCTCAACCTCCACCATCAATGTCTCGTCCTTTTCCGTACTCTTCATTTCGGCATCTACGCTTTGTCCGTTCTTAAAAGTTTTTTCTGTACGCGAAGCCTCGTTCGTTTTGCTGGCATCGCTGCAACACATCTCCGACAATATTAATTCCTTCCTATATTCGTTTTTCTTCTACGCGAACCACCGAAATCTATATACCTGTTCTCGATCTTCTTGTCAATCCCGACTTTACTTTTCGCGTCCTCTTTCTCCTTAGCAGTCTCTTTCGAAACAATTGGATTCACCGGTTTCACGTCCAAAACTTGCAAATCTTCTTCGGTGCCACCTTCTAATTTAATTACCACAGCGTCCAGCAAATGTAGCAACGCGTCCGCTTGGTCTGCGTCCACTGAAACTTTGTCTATTTCTCCGACGCCGAGCATTTCCAAGAAAACTTCAACGCGTTTCTATGGCAGAATTATAGGTGTATATATATATATATATATACTATAATTATATATATTATTATAGAAAGATAGGTACCTTGAGAGCTGCCACTTGTTCGTCCTTTCTCTTCACCGACTCTTCAGGGTGGTATTTTATTTTGAACCTGACATTTGACAGAGGGTTTGGTATTAGCGTCGGTTCTCGAACGAATTATTGTCTTCGATAGAAAAGCAAACAGACGTACAATTTGTGGACGTATGGTTATCGGTCATTACGTTTAGAAAAACAAGCTCGAAATCAAAGATGTATCGTTAGTTCTGACTCCCCGATAGAATTTCTACACGTTTCCACAGAAGCAGAACGTGTGCGTATCAATCGAAATCACCCCGGGATCGCAAACGATCAGAAGCTAGAAACAGATTTACTCGATCCTGACCGAAAGAATTGGTCGTGATAGGTGTTGCATAGAATATCATTTATGTATGTCCCTTCTCTTCATTTAGAACGTTTAGAATAATTTCTCGTAATTAATCGTTACCGCGTATCCATGTTTTTGCTCGAAAATAATTATTAAACAAGTGATCAGTTATTACTGTCAACATTTGTCAGTTACAGAATGAGGCCTCACCTGTAGGTGTTATTTTAACTCGCATTCGGTTTGCTCGTCGACTCAGAGGTCTATTGTAACGATATCGTATCGTTTCGAATGTGAGAATGATTAAAACGGGTTTAGAACGCGGCCTACCACGAGCAGGTTTTTGGGCTTTGCGCGCCCAGCTCGTATTTCTCTTTAGCTACCTAACAGACACCTCGAATCTTCTGCGATGCGCGACACGCGGTATGCATAAAATGTACGGGAAAAAATAAACGTGTGCGAGACGATCTGTGCCCAAGTCAAGGCGTTCCTGGCGGTATGCTGTAGAGATAGACAGAGAGCTGGTCATATTGGCTTGAATTTACCGATAAAATGATGTCTGGAATTTAGCAAAAATTATAAAGCCACTACACCCCTCATTACCTTCTGATCAGCGCGCGTATGTCACGATTTGTGCACACGCGACTGGCCAGAAGTCGTTAATACTGTTAGGATTTGACGATTACTTTCCACAGTGGACAATGACGGTGCTGTAACAGGCACAGATAACCGTTCTTTCTCGTGAGTATTAATAACAACCGCAATATTTTAACGGGCAAAGACGCGAGTCGAACCACTGTAGAAATTAATTGCTCTTAGATCCACATTTAAGTACGGCTGAGTTGCAAGGTCACATTGGAAATACATCAAACAAACAACGAAACAATATACCATTCCTCGTCCTTGTGAGCGACGAAAAATTCATTCAACTGTTGCCTCCTGAATTCCAGCTTGTATTCGTTGTAACGTTTGATAGCTTCCTCGTCGGTAATTGTATCCTCTTGGGTACCAAGAAACGCTTTAAACGACATCATTGGCGGCTGAGTCTCTACATTTGAGTTGCTGAAGTTGCCAGCTACCTCTCGACTACTTGAATTATGAAAAAAAGGTTAGAATTCATTATTACAAACACCAGATGAATGTGCTACCTTAAACGAGCCAACAGTCGTGGAGTGAATCTACTCCTTTTTTGCATAGTAACTATGCAACCTCTCTTTTTCATGACAAACAGCTTGTATGCTCAGAACCAATTTTTCAGAGGAAAAAAAATGAAGATCGCTGTAAACAAGGCATAACAACACAAACCTGCTACTGTTACTGTGGTTCCCATAGTGATGATTGCCATAATGTGGAGGAGGATAGTGGTCGGGACCCCAAGAAGCAGCTCCACCTCCTCCACCACCATAATAATCGTGCCCGTATCTGGGTCGATCGTCCCAATCTGTCCTCATTCTTTTCATAGGTGGTGCCATTTCCTGTGATCTGGCTGGACTATATCTGTCACGTCCTCCACCTCCACCGCCACGATATTCCCTGTAGTCTGGACGTTGTCTAGGTCGACTAGACCACTCTCTGGAATAATTACTACGTTCACAACTACAAGATGCCTTTTGAATTTTTCTCTATATTACATAACATATAAATGATTCACACGAACATTATAACATTGTGAAAGCGTTTAATACCATCTATACTAATATGTCATTTTGTAATTTATTATCACATAGCCGCATGGATACAGAAAAACGAAAAGGTCAAGAAGAAAGAAACCTATGAATATCAAATGATTTGATAATTACCTATCAACCCAATCATCTCTTCTCCTATCATCCCTACGGCCTTCTCTTGAATAGGACTCCGTTCTCTCTCCTCTAAACTTGTCTCGCCTCTTTCTATCGTATTCGTCGTCCGAGTCACCCATAGTGGGAAAATTTAATGCCAATTCTGAAACGTACAACAAGTAGAAGTGCACTTAAAACGTTTCAATGACAGACAAGTCGTCGATCTGGAACCACTTCATACCAGATAGGGGTTAAGTAGGCAATAGGAACGTGCATGTTTCTTAGTATACGATACGCAAGTACTTCGAACATTCTTCACTGAGATTAGATTTTAAAGGGAATACGACGCTAGTAAAACATTTTGGCGTGGAGTTATCGGTTTCAAATAATTTTATAAACGAAATGTTCGAATAACGCGCGAATCCAAGCTTTCAGAACGTCCGAGTTATGTAGCGTTCCCTCAGATGGAAAAAACAGAGCCGTGTGAAAGAAATGTATGTATAACGCGACTGTGTAAAATATGAAGGATTAATTGAAACACTTACCTGCTTCAGATACACCGTTAGAACAATATGAAACTTTGGCATAGAAAATTTTCGCCACCCGTTTATCGTGCGTCACCAAAGTGTCCCTCGGTGTCCCTCTTGCAGATAGGTGCGCGTCAGTTCGTTGCGTTCGAGGTTTGTTCTCTATCGATTACCTTCTCGTTTCTATTCGAGAACCGCGAAATTTAAACGAGCATTTGGATAATATCACCACCGACTAGGTATAGAATAGACCTATCATCCAATGCTTTTTTCTGTCCCACGTTCATAGGGCTACGTAGCCCTGTTACCATTTTAGTGTCAATATCCGACGATACCGATAAAGCATGAATTCTGGGTATTATTAGAACAAATGAAGTGTTATTCCATTCATATAGTATGTATCTATATGATTTGACGGGAATAAAAATATCCGATGCTTCAGTTTAAGGTTAAAGGATAAATATGACAGTCATAAAACATGAAACGGAAAAGTATATATGTTTTCACTTAAGTACAAGACAATTTATTCTAAATGCATCGTTAATGGACATGTTTATAAATGTTACTTTTTACATGTTCTTGTTTTATTCGTTTTTATATTTTGCCTTATATTTGTATATTTTTAACAGATAAATTCAGAATAGATGTAGCTTCATAAAGAGTCTATCAAATCTTTTTACACAAATATTATGGTACTAAAAAATTGCTCCTGATCTGTTTTATAATAATCAATAGTCAGATATCTCAATAACTTTGCTCGCGAGGGTACATCTCACACACACGGGGTCACTGGCGCGTCCTCCGGGGGCTCCATGACCCCACGATCACATCACACTGGGTCTCTGGCGCCACCAGAAAATAATTGGCGCCGAATGTTAACGTATCTTAACGATTTATATCTCAAACCATTGCCCCTTTCGTTTCGACCAAGCATTCCATTTGTAGCTTAAAGAACGTAGATTAATCCCCTGTCATGGACAATAACAATAAACGGCAAGAACACTGTTAAAATTACACTTTATTTGCAACGGTTGACACTTTATCTCGTCATGCGTACCCTGTTTAGTTCACTTTGGACAGCTCTTATACCGTTATGCGGACAACTTTCGTTTAGCTGAAGCACTCAATTTGTAGCTGATAGTACGTAGATTAATCCACTATTATTGATAATAACAATAAACGACCAGAACACTGTTAAAATCGCATTTAATCGCGGAATACCACTATTTTTTCGACCGGTGGCGCCATCATCTCGCAAATAAAGAGAATCTACTAACCACCGTCCAGTAACTACGAAATCTACTAACCACCATCTCGGAAATAAAGAGAATCTACTAACC